AAATTTACAATCACAATACCAAAGCAATCCTCGTTAGGCTTTCGGTGAGGCTTAATTACGAATCCTTTTCACTTGCCTCTTCAGACTGTTTGGTTTGCGACTATAGTATGCAACCTAGAGTGAACGTAGTTGTACAGTTTATCTCGCAACATGACGAAGTTGCGAAAACAAGGTCAAACCACCTCTATGCAGTTCCTATTATTTATTTATCTGTTATAGTATCAGGAATTGTATAGGAACGCATTTGCGTTCTGATGACATCTTATATGATAGATTGAATGTTGCTAAGTTTTCTTTAGGACCAAATTATTATTACTACCGGACTGCGTTACCTTGAAAGTAGAAGTAAAAAAAAGTTGTATCTCAATTTCTCATCAAATCAGCAGAGATGGCTAACAGATAACGAGATTGCCAGAATATAATTAGTACCAAAAATGAGTCAATTTTAGCCCAACCTAATGCTACGCCAGCACTATACCTATGTAGTGTGAGTGTTCTTAACTTTTTAATAGTAATAGATATAGGGTTTTATTTGTAAAATTTTAAGACTGTTAAATACGATGCCTATACAACCCAAAACCATAATGCTAAAATATGACTGGTCTTCATAAGATCATTAGCTCACTTGGACCGGCCTAAGTCCTATGCTGCCGATGAATGCAGTCTTCAAACCCAAGTTTTCCTCTTTTCCGCTTACTCCACCACCAGCTGATCCAGGGCTGGAGACGTTAGCCAGACTTGTGGCACGACTAGGCGAGTTACCCAAGAGGTAGTTGGCCAGAGCGCTAGTAGGTCCGTCAAGTAGGGCAGATGGGCATTGGTCTAAATCGAGGAAGGGTAAGTCCAGTGGGTAATGAACATGAGAAGAGAGACGCTTGACGATAGAGAGATTGTCCTGTCGATCAAAGTGAAAAAGAAAAAGTTATAGGCACATGTTGGCGAGAGATTGTTTAGTTCAAAGCATCAAAAGGGCTCTAGTTGACAACGAATTCTAAGCCTATTACACAAAAAAGCCGAACAGATATAGGTATTTTGAAAAGCTTTTGATATCTAATCATTATCCTTTTATTCTGCTATGTAGGGAAGAAGGGTTTAGGAGAATTCGATTATTTTACATACAATTTTATTTAAGAGATAAACAAAAGAAGATTGTATTCATTATAATCCAGATAATTTTCATCACAGCCAAGCTTGTAGCGCATATTTACCATTAAGCATAATTGACCTACATTATATTATGAGACATCGATTATACTTTAACATCATGAGAGTGCTGTTAAAAGCAAAAAATAACAGGAATCCTGCTTTCATTAACCCAAACCTTACCTGGGAGCAACTAGATAGGGATGAGTAGAGTAGGCAGATGAATTTAGCCAATCGCAATGAGCATTAGTGCAAAGAATAAGAACAAAAAGTGCGTTAGTTTATAGAGTTCGTTCCTTAATTCAACTGCATAGTATACGCCAACTGTGTGTAGAAAGCTTATTTTGTCCCCTGGATTCTGCTCCCGCCCCGGCTACCAACCCTTGAGTTGTGCATATCTTTTAAACAACTGCCACAACAACAATCATAACGGCATGGCCAGAGTACCCGGACCGTCAAAAAACTATATGTTTATATCTTGTGCTTGCATCTGTCATTACGCCTCTCTTGAGCCTCCAACGCACCAGAATGTTTCGAGCATCGGGGCCTGCCAACTCTGCAGTACAATGGCCAGAGGCATCTTATAAAGGATTATTAAGCATTATATATGTGCTAGAAAACTTACATTGCTTTGCTCTTTCCTACCTTATAGTTGCCATCCTCTAGCTTGCTCCAAACGCCAACGCCATAGCAGGATGTTATGACTAGACATAAATGTTTAAATTCCGCATTTCGTCTTCAATAACAATACATACCATTACCATCATCCTATTCTTCCGTAATATTAAATACTCCGTCAAATCACTTAATCAGCTAAATTAAGAAACAAGGATTTATTTCAGCTAACATTTGATACAGTATTAAAAGCTGCTCTGTAGAGTTTTAATTAGCTAGAGTGGAAATTGGAAGCGGATAATCGTGGAGTAGTGAATTAATTTGAGAGAACTCAAAGTACTTGAAACTGGTGGATAGTTATTGAACTTTCTTGGTCTGACAGTAAACGACACATTTGAAAAAAACGCACTCAATAGAAGCAAGCCGTATGCTTTGTGGCATGGCTCTCTATTTCGAAGAGAAAATTGGTTGGAACGAATTCGTGATGTGGTCGCACCGGAAACCGAAGGAGGAATGTCGCGTACGGAAGATTGTTGAATTGTGCCAAAAGGTCCTCGGCTCACCGCCCTGCGACCCCGATGAAATTGTGCTAAGCTTTCGTCTGTAATTTGACAAACATCAGCAGAGCAAACATATACT